ATATAGTATAGTATATATATATATATATATATATATATATATATAATGTAAATACAAAATCAGGCTGGGTTTACCGTCTGGTCCAGACCCATTATCGGGCCTGAACTGGGCAATAAGTGCAGTTACAGCCCTTACCATCTGGTTCATATGGTCATCTGGTAAGCCTTGTATCACACATGAACCACCTGAAATTTGGAGGTCCGTGTGCCAGTTGATGGTCAAACAGTTAAAACACCAGTTGTACCATACCGAACTGGATGAAATTGCATTCCTTGCCTTATAGTATGTCAATCGTCGAATACTCTTCACAAAATATCATAGTTTATCAGAAGTATGTCTTGATCACTTAAGTATAAGGCCATGTAAAGTTGTTCATATGAGAGCATTCAATTTTGTTAAAAGGAACAGGAGTAATTTAACAATCAACTTACCATCGAGTGGTTAATAATCCTTCGACACCAACTGGGCCTCGAGCATGAATCCTACTTGTACTTATACCCACCTTGTCAAGCCATAAAAAATAGTATGACGATCAAATAAGGTAATTGAAATGTATGCAGTGCAAGTTATTTTTAGACAAGTTACCTCTGCACCAAGTCCAAAACGGGCTCCATCACAGAAGCGTGTGCTAGCATTGTGAAACACTGCAGCACTGTACAAGGAAAAAAGATCAAGCAGTGTGCTATATTCAAAATGCACAAATATTGGAGCTGCCTAAGAGATAAATAGACCTTACTGTTCATTATATATAGTGGTGTTCACAACCAACTTAAAACATGAACATTGAGAGAGTTCAACTCACTCGATGAAAAATTATTAACTTAACCTAGCTATATTAGCAGACATGCAGACAGAATGTCTGCCCCTTGGAAACAAGTTAATCAGACAAACCGTTTTGCCCAGAAATCAACCAGATTTGTATCCAGTGGAAAGCACTCTTCACGTCAGTTCAAAGGGTCAACTTTTTAATCCCTCATAGGGACACTAATCCCCTGCTATATCCAGGATTCATTCATGCTATATGCATGCTTATCCCTGATTGTACTCTATGGGTTTTGTGGCTCACATGAGATGATGACTGTTTGTCGGGCCCATTCCAGGGTTGGCAGCAGAATGAGTCATGGTAACACAGTGAATAGTTGACCAGTATTGCATGTAATGGTTAGAATCCAAATAAACTAGCAATATCAGACAATTTTTTTCTTTCCTCTCCGAAAGGTTAATGATCATTACTATGACTTTGTTATATCTCAGGACTTTGCAAAAAAAGATCGAAACTTACTGTCTTCCAGTTATTTGACAAGGAATTATCAAAGTTTAGATTACCATGTTGTAAAAGCTCCTATGAAATTCAAATGCAAATTGCATAAAAGCTACATCAGCCAGGAGATCTGATGCTACAGTAACCATTTCAACCACAGACTGACTGCCTAAATCTGTGTAAAGCACCGTATGTATTATGTTCCATATCCTAAAAGCATTTAGCAAAATCAGCAGAAAACCTCTCCCTGATTTCTCCACAGCAAGTGAAAGAAAGAGGCTGTCAAGGAAGACAAACTGGCATGTTGACTGACAATTCAAAATCAAAATTGTAAGTTCAGAGAAAAAACTGTGAAGGTATTTTTACTGCTACTACTTTATCACCTACTCATCCTAAAAGAGAAAGATATTAGTCAGTTCTAGAAACATTGCAGTGATGTTTGAATTAACACAAGATTTTATCTTTCACCTTCTTAATCCGAGTTTGACATAGCATTCCTCTTCTGAAAACTTAATGACAGGTTCCAAATTGTGAAGTTTACTTTTTACGTGACTCTTGGGCAGTGCCAAACAAAAAGAACCAAGAAAGAGATCAAAATTTGCAGTGATTAAAAATTACTCCTAATTACTTGACTTTGTAAAATTATTCCTAATTACACTACTGAAAACGGCAGAAAGATACCTGTCAACTTGATGGAGAAAGATCTCTGCAGCTGCAAGATCCTCGGCGACTATGCAGTCAGTATGTGCACTGAGAAAACAAAGCACAAAAATAATTTTTAGTACAGTTGATTTTCACCATTCTTTCTTGCTAATGATGGAGATCTCAGCAAACAAAGATGAAATTGGAGGTGACCATAAGTCAATTTAAACCTTCCATATTGATGTATATGGTCAATTGCACCATGTATATCATCAACTACTTCAATTGTACAAGCCATTGAATTGTACTCGTGATGAAATGATGGTGCTTCAGAAATACCGTACTCGAGACTTACTATAGATCCACCATATAAAGCAACCCCTGCAATTGGACATACCAGAAATCTCATTGGCATTTTTAATAATGCATGCATTTATAGCAAGACTTTGGATAGGACAAAAAGGAGATTCTTAATTCTGCAAAGGTTTACTTTATAGTCTTTTTCCCTTTAAATCCATGAAAATTCCATCAAGAATTAAACTCCCCACTGATCATACAAAAGAAATGAACTAGTGAAATAACAAATCCAACTGAGTAGGAAGATGTAATCCACAAAAAATCTGAATAAGCAATTGATCAAAGTATGCTCACAAGCTTTTTCTATAATGTTCCTTATAATTTAATATACCAGCAGCTTCACCAATCAATGAATTAATGATCCAAGTAACCTACTAGCCCATTAACCTGTACTGAATGAGCCTCGCCACATCATTTAAAATGCTTAAACTGAAATTATGAAATATCACGATCAACTCAATTCAGTATTGTCAATGTTGAGCAATTAGAATATTACAATCACCATCATTATAACCTTCATTTTCCAGTGTTTTTATAAAGGCATTACTTCACAAAGAACAGTATGATACGGTGATTAAACATTCAAACTTCGATGCCTTAATATGCACATTCAAACCCAAGACATCCAGGAAACTTCACTATTCCTGCCCAAATAAGATTAAACAGATCCCCAATGTTGCTACTCCTACCTGCTGCACAATATCCCAGATTATAGATTCTATTGCTAAACCTATGCAGCTATCAGCTGATAGCTGAGGAAATTTAACTGGGAATAGAAGCCGCAAAATATGATTGGCCATCACTGATGAAATGAAAGTCGGCCTTGGTTAGTCACCAATCTAGTGCAAACAATCTAAGCATACAATCATCCATGCTGCATTTGATGGGCTTTCTTCGACTGGCCAAATGTCTTATGCAAATTTTTTTTTGCAAACTACTAAACTCTTACCAAATCATGAGACTCCCCACATCATGCATTTAAGATAATTGAGTACGGGATTTTATGACTAGGGAAGTCCAACCTTTATTACCCAAAATCTATGAAGAATGATGTACATCCCACACTAAGGAAATGTTAGATGGGCATAGGGCTAAGTTTTGTGGCTCATACATACGCTTCCCTGTTCTAAGTTGCTCTCAATCATAGTAAGAGTTTCAATGCTTAGAAAAATGTGACGCACTTGGCCATGATCTGTTACTCCTAATCACATCCATTTTAGACCACTAGCTTACGTTTGGGTTATGTTATTCCTCTCTCAGAAAGTTTGGTCCCCATAATTCATATACCATGCTTTTGCTGAGCCAAATTAACTTATCTCCATCAGAATCACCAGTGGACACCTTTTAATAATTCTCACAATCCTAAGCACCTAAAATCCTACACATCCTCAAATCATGTTTAGATACCATTTTATGACTGCCAAGAGCTTCTAGGACAAAGAAGCAAAGCAACTGAAGAAAAGAAGCAAGCTAGGCATGTCATGTAAATTTGTTTTGCCTAATAGCAGCATACCAGCAACAACAAACTGAGAGCAATAGGCAGGTAGACTGGCATAATGCAACTGTACCTGGATGCTTGAATCCATAACGAGAGAAAACTTGGCACATTCGATCACGTCATATTTTCCAACAAGTGAAACTAGAGAATCATGATTCACAATGATGCAAGAGGAGTGCATAAAAGGGATATCAAAGAGGATTAATGCATTTATTTGGGTAAAGGATAGAATATCCTTCTTGAATTCATTTTTTTTGGGGAAAAACAAAATAAAATTGGGAATAGTATAGGAAAAAATTAAATATTTTATAGAGAAAAATGGAGATCAATTCCATATTTTAGCTTTTAACAAAATTTTAGTCCTCAAGTCAAGGCCAATCGATCACACCCATCTTCCATTTAGAAGAGGATCCTTATTTACATGATACCTTATTCATGTTTTTCCATTTTTCTTTAACCTCTTGTCTTTTATGATAATCTTAGCAGTTGGCATAGGCATATAGAATAATAATCATGTAATAGCTTATTATATTTGAACCAAAGAAAAATCTAACTAACAAAATACAAGTTCTATGTCCCTCCACCTCCCCACCCCTCACCATACACAAGTACACAACAATGCAGAGTAAATTAGAAAATAAATAAGAACTAAAATAAGATGACACAATTCAATTGAAGTCTAATGGAAAAATATTAAAACACCAGTTTATCTAATATGACAAAGTTGGAAGGGAAGTTTGTTGAACGGCAACCTCCAGATCTATTGTGAGAAGCTTGCTCCAATAATCCTATCCACATTCCGAGACATAAAACCAAAATCCTACCTCAATATTTCCTTCGACATTAACTAGTGCATCTGATCTCTACATAACTCTACCATCTAGTCCTAATAAAGATAGAATCCCAAAATAGTAAATTTAATTTTTTATTCTTACTACAAAAATTGTTTTCAAATGAGGTAATGGATGATATAATTTTGGCTTTTTTTGTTAACCTCTGTACAGATAAGAGAGGTTTTACTAATGATTTCATTTAATTAGATCATTTAGTTCATGTAAACTTAGATAGACTTAAAATCGATATAATTAAATATTTGCTTTAATTAAATAGATAAATAACATGATATTAGATCAGGAGAAAAATTTTAAATAGGTTAAAAATTTGCTCCTTAAATGTTTGCCTTTTTTTTGTAATTTTGGTTCTTGATTTTTAAAATCAATACCATTCCCATTACAATATTATATATTTATATGAATTACAATGATTAAAGTAAAACAAAAGGTTCCTGCATCACATAAGCACATAACAACTTAAATTTATAGAATATAAAAAGAAGATGGTAGGCTTCAAAAGAAATGGTCATTAGATAAAGACCAATAGACCATGAAAAAAGAACTGTCAAAAGGAGACCGATGCCGATTTCTTGCTCATGCTTTTGGATCAACTGTCCTTTTCACTTCTCAACTAACTTTCATGTGCTTGTAATATTGCAAAATAATTTACAAATGTTACCTCTGTAACAAAGCTATTGGATTTCTATAAATGCACACATTTTCATCACTCTTTTTCATTAACAAGATGCTAGAAATGTAAAATGCATGAGGCAACTAGAAATTCTATGCAAAAAGAAATGATAGTCATGAACTTCCACTTTGCAACAATACGTTAGTGAACTTGATCCTTCAACGTTGCATAATATAATCCATCTACCAGACACCAGTCTACACAATACTTGCAACTTAGCTTATGAAAAATATGTAATTTAAGGGTAATGATCAGACCTTCATTTTTCAGCTCCGTTAACAAATTATTAAGCCCCTCAGTCTTCAAGAGATCCTTGTGCACAAGAAGTGTTTCCTGCAAATAATAGATGCCAATTTCAAATTAATTATCTATTAAATACACACATTAGAGACAATGAAGTATGCTAGTTACGGACAAATTGTAATTGACCAAACAAAGGATCTTAAATTTGAATTTAGTGGAAATTGAAATTGAGAAGAGTCTAGAGGATAATGACAAGTAGCATTAGAACCAGAGTCAATAGCGACTTCTCAACATTTCTCTTGATTCAAACGAAAAGAAATAATAGCAATTAACAGAGTGACATCTTGGATGGAATAACAAGCTCTTGACTGCTTTTCAATTGCCAATTCACACATTGGAGATGATAAATAATGTTCTAGTAGCATAGAAGTGCAATAAAGCAGACTGATGCACTAGGCTCTCGCCAACGAGTCTGGAAGGGTAAAAAATTACCAACGTATAGATGCTTATATAGTTCAGAATTATTGAAACAATAGCCCAAAAAACAAAGACCAATGAGGCAAAACTGCTCCTTATACAGTGTGGCAAAAAAGAGAATAAACTAAGAATGGACTGGAATTGCAGAAAGGTTAAGTACTGAAGAAATATTTTTAGTGTAAAGAAATGTAGAAAGGGTGCAATAGGCAATTGTAAGTAGATAAAGCATGCTTACAATGACCACGACAAGGAGTATAAATGGAAGTTTTCAAAAAAAATATCGAAAAGCTTGAGGAGAAAAAAAGCTGAAATAAGTCCACTCTCGAATGTCTTAAAACTAATGATAAACACAGAATATGATAAAATTCAATGAGATAAGAAATACCATAGCATTACAAGCTGCTGGATAATCAGTCTTGGCATCCAACACGATGCGCTTTGCCATTTCGATGTCAGCAGATTTGTCAATATATACATGACAAATGCCATCTGAAGGGCAAACATTAAGACCTAATTTAGTCTCTAATATAACATATATAGAAAACTAATGCATCTTAAGTAGGACTCAGATTCAAAGAGCAAAAATCAATGAGCAAATACAGTATGAATTGTTTACAATACCTGCATGACCTAGTACAGGAATCTTGGTGGATTCCTTAATTTGAGTAACAAGTTTATTGCTACCTCTTGGGATAACAAGATCAATAACATCATCAAGCTGGAAATGTTGTTATGAGTGAAATTTTGGATCTTACAAACAATATATTTTAGAAAGGACATAGGGTTCTTCCTCTAATACAAGCTCACCTTTAGCAGATCCGGAATCTCATCTCTTGATGTGACAAGCCCAATAAGCTTTTCACCTACATCTGGAATTGCTCCTGTAATGACCTAACAAAGCAACACAAGAGTTTTAAAAACTGGTTTTGTACTAAAGAAAAAAAATTTAGGATCAGAAATATGTATATGAAACCTAAAAGAATCCATATTTCTAGAGGTAGAATTTGCATGAAGGAACAAACCTTATGCAAAATTGCATTAGATCTCATGGCTTCTTTGCCACCTTTCAGAAGAAGGCCGTTCCCACTTCGAACAGCTAAAGATGCAATCTACAAGAGAAAAAAGAAAGTGATAAAAGGATAAGAGTATTCACCATCATAAAAGAAGAGGCCATATATTTTCTTTATAAGGTTTAGAAACACAACATAGTACTAATTACAAATAAAATCCATGATGATGACAGTGACACCAATGGTGGCAGTGGGGATTACAGTAGTGCAATGTTGTAGTGATGGTGGCAATGCCCGTAAAGTCGATAAAAGTAATGATGATGGAGGTGACATTGGTGGCTTAGTAGCGTGGCACTAGTGCTTGTATTGACAATGATGGTGGTGGCAAAATTTATAATAATTAAAGCTTACTTTAGTACAGGAGAGTTGTAGATATTTTGGAACACTACTTTTGTAATTTTCTGTAGTCTATACAAAATTGGGAAATTGGAAATAAGTTTTCCAAGAAATTGTTTTCCATTTTTAGTCAGAGCATGTTCTTGTAGTTTTCTACATTCTCAAAACTTTTTTCTTGGAAAAATGGAATTTCATTTGTAAGTTATTCCCTTAGTGTTTCATGGATTGGATAAATATGATAATTATACAGCAATGAAAATATATAAATAAATGACTGAGGAATGACAACTGAACAACAAAAAAGACTAAACAAGAGCAGGAAGATAGGATCAGAATAGACATTTCAAAGCGGCATTCAAATATTACCGAAGCTAATTAAACTTTTCACAATGAAAGTGTAACAATGTGACCTAAGTTGGCAAAAACAATACATTCATGTGCTCATTCAAATAATACTATAAATGCAGCAAATACAATTACTTTCACATAAATGCATGTCTTAAGATAATTGTTCCCAAAACAATTGAAGAAGCACATACAAGCTCTTTCCTCCAAACTTGACTTACAAACAAAAACTTTTGCTCCTTAGCACTTGCTTGTTACATTCTTTAAATTATTAAAAAGCTAATAATCAAAATTTTCCCAAGAATTCTCTTTAAATTTTTGCTATTTCCCACTATCTCTTAAACTGGGATGTTCAGAATTGATTCACTGTTTAGTAAAACTTTGATGAATGCAATGAAGCATATACCATGAGGGATAAAAAACATCACATCACAATAGCCTCAGGAGTTACATGCTTATTCATGATGGTCAATGCTCAGAACGTGCCATGTTGTAACTAAAAGCTGCCAACTGACACTAGCTAAACGACAAAGCATAATTTTGTGAAGTAGGAAGACAATATGGTGCCAGTGCCAGTAGCCTTGATAATGTGGTATGCAAGAAAAAAAATAACTAAGAATAATGTTTTACTTGAACTAAGGCATCAGGCCTCGACTCAAAAACAATGAGAAGAACTCCCAAGGGGCAGGATGTCTTTTCTAAGATGAGCCCATCAGCAAGCTGAATAAATATCATAAATCAGATTCTTAGAACAACCAAGGAAAAATCAAAAGAAATATTTAGTATTCTTTGGCCAAGATTCCTGACCTCTGTTCTTTTCAAGACTCGGCATATCGGATCTTCCATATCTGCAAGTACACGAATGGAGTTTGCAAGACAAGATATCTGTCAAACAGTGAATAAGTCAATTGCAAATAACATAAATGACCACAAGGAAGATAGTAGTAAATAATAAAAGAGAGAATCTGCTGCATCAGGAAGAAAACTTTTGAACCAACTCATAAAGTTACTCAAGCTAGAAATAAATGTGAGCGACGATTCATAACTACAATGCTGCCACAAGGGAAAAAACATAAATTCATAATCCCTTGCCTTGCCTGGCTTCAGAGTCAATCTAGAAATTAATGATTTTTCATATCCAGCCTGTTGTGCAGCAGAGACATCAGCCTCATTTTCAATTCTAATTAATTTCTCATTTGCTTCTAAAGCATTAGCAATGTCCAACAAGATCTTCTTGCGTTCCTCTGACGATAAACTCTGGTGAGGAGCCCAAATAGGATGAAGCGGAGTTTTATTAAAATGAAACAATAATGAATCAAAAATTCATAAATTTTTCTAGGTTCTCACTATCATGTATAGTACCTGAAGTCGCCTTGAACATTCTCTTGCTGACACTGCCATGCAACGTGCACTAACTTCTTTCGGCAATGCCCACTTACTTGCGTCCTGATGGAAAAGGGTACCAACTCTCTCACCTTGAACTACTTTAATGATGCTATCAGTAGTGAAACCACTTCAATGAACATAAAAAGAGTGTTAAAATTTAATCTACTTGGCAGGTAGTTGGATATAAAGTAGAAGAAAGAATCAACTAATCATAGTTCTGCTCATAATGTATATATAAAATAAATATTCAATTTCTAAAACTGACACATGATCAACCATACAACAAATCCCATTGCACTCCCTAAATAACAACAAGCAACATTTTCATCTTTGCTGTATAACAGGGTGCCTTATATGTACCATCATATGACCAGAACTTTCCTTTTCTCGCAATTTTTTTAGGTCAAAACAGGTCGAGTTTTGAACCAACTGAACTGGTCTAAAGTCTCAAGTTTTACTTTAAAGCTAAAACCAGTTTGAATCCTTAGCTTTTAGGGCATTAGAGGCTTAAGATATTGAGGGACCAAGTGACTCTTCCACGTTGGCAAGGACCCCCTTGGCAGGCCTGTATCTGACATGAAATCAAGCAGCTGCATTGAAAAGCAAACTCACTGGAGCTGAAGAGGTAGCAATGAAGATAGCTCCACCTAGAAACTAAAAAGTGCATTAGTTTTCATGAACATGCCAAAGTATCATCATACCATAACAGAGTGCCAAAACTCTCTTCATCCACAACCATTGGGTTCCACTTCTGTATCTTAATAAGTACAGTTCTTAACAAAAATCAGAGTGGCCACATGAAGATCATAAAATTGCTCTTATTTTAATATCATCATACCATAACAGCACCAAGTTTCAAATGAAATACCATAATCAATGGAAGTTTTGACAACTGACATTGCATAAGCATCTGATGAACTTCACATTATTATCAATAGTATTTGCATATTTAGGATCTGCATTCTCACTTCATCACGCTGTTGATGATACTAAACATTAACATGAAAAATTGACATCATAATTAGAATTAATTTACAATAGATGTGAACACATAAATAGGAGTTCACAAACAATTATCATGCAACAATTGCTTTGTAAAATCCAATGAAACTTTGATCATCTTTTTAAGCTATAGTCTAGCCAACGTCCAAATATGCTTTATAAATATTACAACAAATAGGAAACAAACAAATAAAACAAACATGCAACAAAAGGAAATGTCTTTCTTTTCACAACCTAAGAGGATTGGCATGTAGTTAGGCAGCACCAATAGTTGCAGAATCTAACAAAATACGCAGTCTCAATCAGTGTAGTCAAAAGTGCTAGGTGCCAAAAGGCGCCACAGTCCCAAAATTCCCAAGGCGCTAGGCGCTCGCCCGAGCGAAGCTAGACACTCTCAGATATTATAATTTAAAAATTATATATCATGATTAATAAAAATAAACTAAAACAAAAATAACACATCAGACTTTCATTCATTTAAAGCACCAAACTACATTGTCCATATTCAATAACAAATGACAAAATAAAACAAGATTAACTTCAAAGATCATTAAAATCCAGTTCATCATCTTCAATCTTGTCACCATCTAAAGTTGCAACGACAATCCAAAACACTAAGAAGTAGCACTAATCACTACAGCAATAGCAATAATAATCAACATTTTACTACTGATTCACTATAGCAGGCAGCAGCTGCTATTCTCACAAACATAAACCAAAAACAAAGACTAACAGCAAAGCAGTCAGCTATTCTAAGATTAAATTGACAAACAGCACTGAAGTGGCAGCAGTGAACGGGGAAGAGGGAAGAGGCTGTACGATGGCTGCGGTGAATGGGGAAGAAGGCAGCAGTGAATGGGGAAGTGGGAGGGGAAGAGGAAGAGGCTGTAGGAGGGCTGGGGTGAATGGGGAAGAAGGCAGCTGTGAAAGGGAAAGAAGGCACCGATGAATGGGGAAGGAAGGGAAGAGAAGAGGGAAGAGGCTGTGGAGCGCTATGGTGAATGGGGCAAAGGTAGTAGGGAACAGGAGAAAGAGAAAGATATACCAAGAGGGAGGGGAAGACGCCGTGGCCACTGCCGCCGGAGGAAAATGCCACCACTACTGTTGCTGATGAAGGAAGACGTTGTCGCTGCCGCTGCTGCCATCGTTCGCCAATGGGACGAACTCCACCACCATGTAGAAACGAAGTGAGAAAGGGTTTCTGCATTAGGGCTCGCGTGTGGATAGGCCTCAATTGAACTCCGTGACCATCAACTCAAGGTCTAACTGGTTCAATTGAACGAGATACAATGGCTCGAACTAGCTTGAGTTAAACCAGGCGTCCGTCTGGTCGACCAGCGCCTGGGCCACGCCTAAGTGAAGACGCTCGCCCAGTCCATTAGGTGTGTGCTCGGGCCTCACCTCACCAGGGCACCTAAGCGAGTGCCCGAGCGCCCGGTGACTTCGCTAGTCTCAATTTTCCAGGACTCATCAACAATAAAAAATCATTAAGTATATACTGTTGTAGATAGCAGGGCACAAGGAATACCTTGTAATCACAACAGGGGTGCCTGCATAAGCAGCATACACTGCAGCCTTCACTTTAGCAGTCATACCTCCTCTTCCTACTCTGGACTTGTCTCCAAAAGTTATCTCACCATGATGCCTTTCTTTCACATAGGTATGTATTAACTTTGAATGTGGTTCACCAGGGGGACCACTATATAGACCTTCAACATCACTTAGCAGAACAAGAAGATCAGCTTTCAGTTCCAAAGCTAATAAAGCCGCTAAACTGTCATTATCCCAAAAGATACCAGAAGAATCCTGCAAATTATGTTAATTAATAGACTGAGAGCCAAATAATGAATGTCATGGGGCAAAGAGACTAAGAATAACCAAAAACAGCCTCGATCAACCAATAATAGGCTTACATACTATGACAAGCTGCATAGAGATTTTGATATAGCAGAACACAATACTAGTCTCTTTGGTTTCAATAAAAAAGTTCTAGCCTCAAGAGGACTGTAGATGAACTGACAACTATATTAGTGTGCATAGCCACAAGGACTGTAGATGAATTGGCAAATATATTAATGTGCAAACATCACAATTGTCAACAATCTAACAATCAATACCTAAAGACAAGAAGAGATTTTTCTACATATATAAACCACTTAATTATTTTGCAGGAATTGCATGTCAAATTCCATATCAAAATCTTGATTTAAAAATAATGCAAAGACCGAAAAACTAAAATGCTCTGCATCATGTACAAGAAAATATTCTGAATTCCAAGAAGCTTTAGAAGTTACTAAAAGAATATTCAAAACCTGGCTGCCATGTGTTTCACATAATTACTAAAACATATCCTTGAAGACCACATGTGTTAACATTGACAGGCATTTTCATGCTCATAAAAAATAACTCAAATCTTCTTTCTTCCACATCCTAACAGCAATTAGCAAAAATTTTGTTGTTACATTTGTGTGCTAAACTTCCAGAAATCTGCCTCAGCTTCTCTAAAGAAACTTCCAGCAGTTGTATGGTCAAATCTTATCAACCAAATATTGAAGTTCCAAATCTAGAAGCTGCCAGCTTTCTGCCTTTCCAGTAAAGACATAATATAAAACTTCCTCAATCAAGGTTTCAAATTTCAACTATACCAGTCTTCATGAACTGGTGTTTATCAATCCAACCAAGTATCCGTATTGAAAACAGATAGCTTGATACTGGTACATTATCATTCATTTTGTTCTTTTACTCTTTTATTCAACTATATCAGTCAATACACCATCAGATATCCGGTTCGATAGGTCACCATAATTGATATCAAGCTGAGATTTAAATTTTTGAACATATACATATTTTTATAACAAAATAGTTTCAATCAAAGCTCCTTCAATGTAGGAAAATGATTGGGCATACACTAAACTACAGTCAATTATAGCCCACACAAAATAGCCTCATTAACTTTATAAAAATCTCAAATTCCCTCTGCTTAATCTTATATTCTAATTTTCCTACCTTCACTCATCAAAAGTACTTCAATCCAAGGATGTCATATCATGCCAAACGGTGGTATCGGTCCATGGGTGGATCAATATGTACCGATTAGTATTGGCATAACATATGATACTGATTTTCGGAAAAAGGCTGAAACATGGTTGAAAATTCACAAAAAAAAAATCTTTTTTTATATTTTTATCCTAATTTGATATATTTAGTTAAGAATAGAGCATATATGAGGCATAAATAAATGTATAAGGGTGTGATTATTCTTAAACACCCCAATTTGGACCTAAATGCAAGACAATAGACCTAATTGGGACTAACGCAAGAGAATGATCTTGATCATGTTTAATCTTTGTAATTATGCTTTAATATGCCTCTATTTACATGAAATGATAAATAAAACATAGAAATAAATTAAATACCTTCAAATTGGAGAGAAATTTAACTAGATCCCAATTTCCAATTCAGCTTTTATCCAAATCTAATCACCGATTAGGAAAATCACAAGGAGTATGAGAAAGGAGAAAGAGAGTTAGAATGAGAGAGTGACTGATAGTCAGTGAAAGAAGGTGGAAGGAGGGGATTTAAAGCCCAAAAGAGGTCCCAATGGTAAATTTAACCATTGAGGTCAAACTTGACCCAATTTAGGTCGATATCAGTCAAATTCCAATCAGTACCGACCTATATCGATCGATACAACATGAGTTTTCAACTGTATCAACAGATAGATCACCGGTATCGACTGATACCTGACCCTTTTCCTGTGTATCATTCAAAACAAGCTGGTCTGAATGCCACGGTGCAGTACATATTGTTTCGGGTGGTACGTACCTAAACGACTAAACCTTTTTCTGTGTTCCCTCTAGAATGGGCTGGTTCACGTACCGTTCAGTTGGCGGAACAGTACATACCACCTGTTTCATACTGTTTCAGGTGGTACGTAAAATACTGGTTCAATCCACACTTATTTAAAAATCAAACCTAAGGAAGAAGATGCAAATGTCAACATAATTACATTTTTTCAAAAAATTTCATACACAATATCAAAATTAGAGCAACTTCTATTCTATCATCAAGTTTCAATTCAATCAAGATATTTCCTTACTGGTGGTAACTTTGATGGCACTATCTTAAAAGAAAAAGGAGCAGAAGGATTAGTTCAATCATTAACCAAAATAGGAAGAAAAATAAATTAGTCATTCAGTAATTTTTTATCAGATGCCAAGCTAGTTGAACCACCTTGTTGCAACTAATCCAAGTTAAAGTTTTTTTGTCTTGTAAAATTATAACTCGCAACATGATTCTACAAGACTACAACCCAAAACTAGGTGATAAGGAAGTTATGATGTCAATGTATCTGCAGTCACTCAAGAGCAGCAATTAAAAAATTCCAAATAGGCACTTCAAGTCTTCATATCTTGAAAACTAAACTATTACTTCCAATCCCCAAGATAACAAAACTTACACATGGATTTAATAGTTAGGGATATTGCGTCAAATTTCAGCGATTTAAAAAGGCGCTTGGGCGCTCGCCTAGGCGCTCGGGCGAGGCGAGGCGAGGCCCGAGCGCCTCGCTAATCTCCCAAGCGGCGCACTTCAAACAGGCGCCGCCTGGGCGCTCGCCCGAAGCGCCCAGCGCACCTGAGCGCTCGCCCGAGCCCAGGCGCTGGGCACTTCGGGCGAGCGCCTGGGTTAACCAAGGGGACCGAACCAGGATTTTAGGTCTGGTTCGGTCCTGGTTCGGTCTCTGATAGTTAGTTGGTTCAATCGAACCAATTAAAACTGCTATAAGTGACAACCGAACCCTAACCCTCGCCGCTGCCGCTCCCGATCCCGATCCCGCTGCTCGCCACTGTCATTGCTCGCAAATGCTGCCGCTGTCGCTGCTCGTAAACGCTCTCGCTATCGCCGCTCGCGCCTCCCGCTGCTCGCTGCCGCTGTCGCCACTCGCGCCTCCCGTTGCTCGCCGCTCCTGCTCCTGCTCCCGCTCCCGCTCCTGCTGCTCGCCGCTGTCGATGCCGCTGCCGCCATTGTCGTTGTCTGCCACTGCCGCTGCCTCCTTACACTCCGCTGCCGCTGCCGCTGCCGCTTCCTCTTTTCTCAGTCAGCAGGCTCAGCACCCCCTTACACTTCCTTCTTCTCCTTCTGTTAACAGTATACAATATACTGTTAACAGTATACTGTTAATATTATTAGGTTTATTTGAAATTATTAATTTTTAATACTGTTAATAGATTTTCTTAATTTAATAGCATATTTTAATTTAAAATTTTAAATAATTATATTTATTAATTATATTTTATATTTTTATATTTTAGCGCCTCGCTTTGCTCGGGCGAGCGCCTAGCTCCTCGGGCGATTTTGAACCTTGACGCCTAGCGCTTTTTAAATCACTGGCATCAATAAAATGACAATGGTACTTAACTAGGAAGCATGTACATAATGATCTAGCTTCCAAAGATATGCACAAGCTAATTAGTATTTTATAAATATGAAAACTAAAACAAGCTTGGAAATGGTTGTTATAACTAAAACAGAAATCAAAAGATGATAAGGTATCAACGATTGTCATTCAAAACTTGAACTAAGGAATAGCAAGAGGCAGCAGAACATGCTTACGATTGATAACTTCACACAGTGGCATTTACCAAACAAGATATCAACCACAAATTGACATGGTTATCTGTAATGGTCATAATTCATACCTCATATGGAGCTCTCCTAGTACTTACTGCATCATTTTCATTGAATACAGGAATAACTTTCAAAGCTAACAATGATTTCACAGTCTGACAGAGTTGCATCCGGAAATTTGGATCCTTAAAGTCGCTATCGGTGACAAGAAGCTGAGATGATGTCACATCCAACTGCATTCAAAGTTATATTCCATTGTAGTGAACTAGTATACATTTTACCATCCAACGTAACAACTATAGATATGTGCAGAAAGTGAAGCAAAAAATCATGCCTGACTAAATAAGGCATCATACAAAGCCATTAGCCCACTTTGACCAACAGCGGCACAAGCCTTCCCATCTAGCTCCACTTGGGGTTTCTGGAGATCAGCAAAGCTGCAAAAGAGCTAATCAATAATCAGGATACTTGTTATGTCAATGCATAATTTCCCTAATAATATTGCTTTAGTGAAAGCCAGATTATGTTTGCACCTGCTGTTGACCAGTTTCCTAAATCTAAGCCTTTGCCGGCCAACACCAACCGCACCTGAAGTAACCAGGATTACTTCAAAACCACTATAATTAAGTTCTTTAACCTGCATATATCTCATTTCAATTTGTAAGAAGTCATAGGATTCAAAATTTCATCAGTAAAGAACATCTAATACTACCTGGAAAGTGGAAACAGAAAAAGGAACTTCGCTAATTATTTACCTGCTCGCAAAGGGCCCCCAGTCTTCCAAGAGCTAATCTCCCATCTGCCCTTGTGACAACTGCAGTCCCCACCTAAAATAATCATAGACAAAAATTGGAAGTATGCTATCATCTATGACCAAAATCCAAGAAGACTCCAACAGTTACCAGACACTAGTGACCTGAAAGCCTAAATGATACAACACTTGTTGGTAATCACAAACAGCAAAGAGTAGGAAAACACAATTCATTTAGGTTGAAGCTAGCCATCGAACCAGTAGTCCATGCATACTGTGCAACAATGTGGAAGAAACAAGAGATCGCCTATTTTTAAATTGAAAAGTTGCAGATTCTCTATTGATTTTTGAAACCAAGTATTCCAGCCTTGGCATTCAAATGATATATTTAGTTATTTACACAAATTAACTTGTTCAGCCTTCATAAAATATCACATATTGAAGAAGACAAATCATAGAAGAGCTGTCAGATTGTTCAAGATACTACTACTTTCGATCAACTAATGGGTGGGTATATATCAGAGCTGGACTAATTAGTTACTGTGTGTTGCAAATGATCCAAATAATGTCATATTATGCCAACGATAAGGATTGAGCTTTGAGTTGCTTGCTCATTATTTAAGTTGTACGTCTTAAGCTGTTCTATTTTGCTCTGTTTAGAGGTGCTGCTTTGTCGCAGCTTAGTGGATGTATTCTTGCTCCCTTCTAACGAAGATTATTATTACTAAAGAAGAACCTAAAGAACAGACAGACATTTTGCTAGATACACATTGGAACATTTCCTACAAAAGAACACTAAGATAGACAGACAAACATACATACACATGAATCTCGATTCTCTTGATAGCACAAGGATCTAAGAAAAAGTCACCTTTCAGAAACGAAACGAAATTGAACGTCTAGCAATGTTTAAGATTTCAAGAACACAAGAACTCCTACCAAACCAGAGACAGGGATACATTGCTAGGTTCTCTCCCTACATACACAGCATTTTAGGAGAAAAAAGTGGTCCTTTCACTATACCCAAGAGTGGAAGAGCTCCAGAATGGAGCACAGATGAAAGGATGGAGAGAATCTACCAAATCAAAGACCAACATTTAGAAAATAGATTCAATCCCCTTGTACACAGCACTTACGGGCAAAAACGATTCTTCGTTTGCTGTTTTACTGAGAAAAGAAGGATCAAATCACACAGCAATAACCGCCTTTAGACCAGGCTTGTATCAGTAAACCCAAGAATGGAAAAGCTCCAGACTGAGCGTGCAAAGAAGGACGAAGAAGAGGTCTTCCGAGACCGAGCTTTAGGAGTAAAATCGATTTTCCATTTGTTTCTTTATCAAGAGAAAACGGACGAAATCACACATTAACAATCGGTTTCCAGACCAGTTAATGGTTTTAGTAAACCCAAGAACGGAACAGCTCCGGAACGGTGCACACAACAACGGACGAAGAAGGGATCTAGCAATTGAAAGACCGAAATGCTCTGAATAGATTGTATTATTGTCCATCTGCTGTTTTATCGATGGAAAAAGGGATCAGATCATGCATCAAGAACCGATTCTTAGACCGGATTAGGGTTTTACTAAACCCGTGAACTGAAGAGCTCCACGACCTTGCGCGCATGGAAGGACGCAAAGAAGATGGAGGTTGATGCGGGAGAGCGAAAGGAAAGCACCTTTATGATGATCCGCTTCACGTCTTTGATGAAAGATCGAGATGGATCCATGGCGGCTGCGCGCGGCGAGTAGACCGGACGGCGAGCACTCGAGTAGGAGACGAGAGATACGTGACGGCCTGCTCTGCTAGTTGTTGTTTTTGTTGCTGTTGTTGATGTGTCTGTCGCAACGTTTTTATCTTATCATTCTGTTCAAATTTTGGGTCTTTGAAAAATCATATATCCCCTCCAATATTAATGATATTTATATTGAACTTTTACAAAAAATATTTAGCTTTTAAATTAAAATTTAACACACACATATCATTTTTAGATAATTTTGGTCAATTCACTGCTGGCGTGTTGAATCTATATTAATGTCTCTTAAAAAATGTTGAGAAATATAATGCATAAAATATTTGATGAAAATAATAAAAGTATTTTAAATACATAATATTTTGAATTCATGATTAATAATATTGAATAATATAATGCATGCACTTATCAAATATTAAAAGTTTAATATTTCATTTAATGAACTAACTACAAGGATTATCAATTGTATTATTGCTTCTACTGTTCTCCCTTTTCTGCTTATTGTCTTTTAAGTCCCTAAACAGTGATCGAATATCAAATCTCCTTCTATAAGTCAAACTTAACGTGATTTCTAATAATTTTAAATATTTACTTAGAATTTAATCGATTCTGTACTATTGGGTATTGAATCTTTATCTAATTACTTAAGTCTTTTATTGGATCTCATCTATATGATACGAGCTTAATGGATATCCAATAATATTTTATTAATTTTTATTGGATTTAGATCCAATAATTCAGGGACTTAATAGATATCCAATAAGATATGTGTTCTGACTCGTCATAATACCTATCATATGTGTATAACTCTATAGGCTCAATATCAAGCTAATCGTGAGTCATACATATCATAATTCTATTATGACCCTTTTATTTTATGAGCTTTGAATAATGTTTATTGAGTCTATTTAGTTCAATTAGAATCGGATAGAAGTTTATTTAATATTTATTTATTATTAAGAGTCCAAGTCCTAGTGGACTCTAGGTGAAACTCTATAAATAGTGGTGTAACCCTTTCTTTCAATCAATCAATCAATAAACCAATCAATGAAGGAAATATTATTCTAGTCTGTGGACCAAACCTTAGGAGGTCGATCCCCTCGAAGTGATTAAGGAGGTCGTTCCTCTCAAAGCGATCAAGGAGGTCGATCCCCTCGAAGTGATCATCCCCTTTTCTTCCATTTCTTTTACGATAAACCCTTAGGGTTCTATCATTTGGTATCAGAGCATTTTACGATAAGACTTTAGGATCTTATCATTTAGTATCAGAGCTAGGTTACGGTTGGGAGGCGAATCGAGCGATCGGGAAGCAGCGGTGGCGGTGGAGAACGGGTTGCCCTACAGCAATGGTGGAGAAGGGGAGAGGGGTTGAGACGGGATGGGACACTGGCAGCATCGTCTCCTGGCAACGGTGGTGGCTCGGGTGGGAGGCGACGACCAATGATGGCCTCTGGTCGGGAAGCGAGGCGATGGTGGTTGCTGGCCGGAGTGCAACGGCGGCGGGTGGGCTGGCTGGAAGCAGGGGAAGCAGGCTGCGGCTTCTTCTTCTTCTTCTTCTTCTTCTTTTTTTTTTTGTAAAGATGAAGATAACTGCAGCAAGGGGGTAGTGGTGACGATGGTGGCTGCTGGCTAGGCAGCAACAATGGTGGTGGAGAAGGGGCAATGGTGATCGTTGGCCGAGATGCAGAGGTTCCTTCTCGATTAAGAAGGATTAGCGTTCTGTCATGGCCTTAGCTGGAATTACCTAAGGCGTGAGGTACCCTTGCGGCAAAGACGCGAACTTAGCTTGCGTTGCCTAAGTCGCGAGGCACTCTTGCGGCAAATATGCGAACTTAGCTTGCGTTGCCTAAGTCGCGCTTCGCCCTTGCGATTTGCGTCCACAAAGATCAGCCCACTTGCAACCTCTCACAGGTCCCGAATGACCTGTAAAAGAGAAAGTTGATTAGTTCAAAGAATGAGCGACGGACAAGTCCCGACGTCTCGCAAAAAGGAGAAGCTTTACAAGCAATTCAGCGAGCACCTTACGTGCACAAGAGAAAAGAGGGAGAGGGGGAAAACAAGGAATTTAGAAGGTTGAACGGATAGCTGCAAGTCCACAAACAGCTACTCACCGAGTGTCGGGCACGACAATAATTTCCCGTCAAGGTAACGTGCGAACTTATGAGTGTTCAACACCCGACACTATACCAAAGCCCCATCTAGCCATATGCCATCCGGGTGGTTCCAAGGTGCTGAGATGGCTAACGTTTTGCGTGCAGCAGCGGGCTATAGAAATCAACTCGTGGCACGTGAAAACGGAGCTGTTTTGCTCAATTCGGTGAGTGGTCGCACTGTAGCACTATAACTTATTCAAACTTATATTTTTATAAGCAAAAGGACTTAAATCCAAGCCAAAATATACTGCCAAGTAGTTGTACATGTAGATTAGAGTGACGAATGGTTCGTTAAACGGAGTTGTTGTGGGTCCGTGACGACCGTTCGTGACATTCTCCCCCACTCAAACTATCGATGCCCTCATTGATGCTTATTGATAGTTGTTGATGATTGCTTCTTCATGTCGTAGGGGGTCTTCAGGCTCCCAACTAGCTTTAGTTCGAAGAAGCTTTCACCACTTCACCAAGTACTCTATCTGCTCAGCTCTAGTGGGTAGCTTTATCTTGCGGTTCACTAGAATGGTTTCAACTCGCTTCTCGTAGGAGGCTGTGGTGGGGGGTAGCCGAGTTGGAACACTTCGGGAAGCATCTTGTGGATCCGAGTGATAGGCTTTCAAGTTGCTGGCGTGAAGAACATTGTGAATTTTGAACCATGCCAGTAGTTGTAACTTGTAGGAGATGTTGCCCACCCTACTAATAATTGGGAAGGGCTCTTCATACTTACGCACCAATCCTTTATGTACTTTGTTCCTAAAGAATTGGAGTGATGCTGATTGGAGCTTGACCAACATCAAATCGTCGATCTTGAATTCTTGCAGTCACCTTCCCAAGTCTGCCCACTTCTTCGTTCTTTTTGCCACCTTCTCTAAGTAAGCCTACGCAATATCTACATTTTAGTGCCACTCCCTTGGAAAGTGATAGGCTGATGGACTACTCCCAGTATACCCAATTACCATGGTGTGAGGAGTTGACGGTTGTTGCCCTGTAATAATCTCAAAGGGGCTCTTGTTGGATGCAGAGCTCCATTGCAAGTTGTCGGAGAATTAGACAATGTCCAACAACTTCACCCAATCTTATTGGTTGGCACTCACGTAGTGCCGAAGATATTGCTCTAGGAGTGAGTTTATCCTTTCAGTCTAGCCATCCTCTAGGGGTGGAGACTTGTGGAGAAGTATAACTTCGACCCCAACAATTTGAATAGCTCGGTCCATAATCGTCCCAGGAACCGAGCGTCTCGATCACTGATGATATATGCGGGACTCCCTAATACTTCACCACATCCTTCATCATCAGCTTGGCCGCCTCCTCTGCTGAATAGTGTAGGGGAACAGCAATAAAAGTTGCTTACTTAGAAAATCGATCGACCACCATGGGTATCGATCCAAGTCTCCCTACTGCGGGCAAGCTTGATATGAAGTCCAGGGAAATGCACACCCACAACCTTTCTAGTATGGGCAATGGCTCCAAAAGTCCCACCGGCTTTCGTTGCCCCACCTTCTCTTGTTGGCAAGTGAGGCACGTTCAAACATATTCCTCCACATTAGTCCCCATCTTCGGCCAATAGAAGGCCCTCTCCATGAGAGCCAAGGTTTTATGAATGCCTGAATGTCCAGCCTAAAGGGAATCGTGACACTCTCTTAAGAGTTCACGTCTTATATTATCTACTCGAGGAACATAGACCCTATTCCCTTTGGTGTAAACGAGTCCCTCCTAGACCCAAAACCGTCGTGCCTTACCTTGTTTAATGAGCTGTATCAAGGCTTCTACCTGGGGATCACTACACAATCCATCCCTGATCTTGGAAAGGAAGTTGGAGTGCAACTGACTTGCTTGGCCTCTGCCCTCTAATTGTACGACATTCACATGCTCCACTTTCTGACTCAGTGCATCGGTCATGATATTCGCCTTTCCGGGCTTATACTCTATTGCCATATCAAACTCAGCTAGGAAGTCCTGCCATTGTGCATGCTTTGGGGAGAGTTTCTTTTGAGTTTGTAAATAGCTCAGAGCGATGTTGTCTGTTCTCAGCACAAATCGCGATCCAAGGAGGTAGTGTCGTCAAACTCGTAGACAATGGATCACTATTGTCATCTCCTTCTCAAGCACTGGATACCATCGTTCGGTCTTGTTGAGTTTGCGGCTCTCGTAGGTAACCGGATGACCCTCCTGCATGAGTACTCCCCCAATAGCGAAGTCTAAAGCATTTGTATAGACTTCAAAGGGCTCCCCATAGTCCGACAATTTGAGCACCGGTTCTTCCAAAACGGTAGCCTTCAGATCTTGGAATGTAATTTCACACTTATCAGACCACCTCCAAGACTGCTCCTTCTTCAACAACTCCGTCAGTAGAGTTGCACGCTTCGAATACCCCGCTATGAAGAGTCGATAGTAGTTGACGAAACCAAGGAAGGATCTCAACTCTGGCACCTTCTTTGGAGTTCGCCATTCTGCAACTGCTTGCACCTTCGATTTATCCATCTAAATGGAGCCATTATCGATTCGATGCCCCAAGAATAAGATCTCTATTTGAGCAAAGTAACATTTATCCCTTTTCACGAACAAAGTGTTCTCCCTGAGAACCTTGAAAATTGTCCGAAGGTGCTTGACATGCTCCTCGAGCGTTTGACTATAGACGACGATATTGTCCAAGTAGACGACCACGAACTTATCCAAGTACTCTTTGAATAGTTGGTTCATGAGAGTGCAGAACATGGTCGAAGCATTGGTTAAGCCAAAAGGCATCACCAAGAACTCAAACGCTCCATACTTGGTCACACAGGTCGTCTTCGCTTCGTCACCTTCATCAATGTGCACCTGCCAATACCCTGACCGAAGGTCGAGTTTTGAGAAATACTTGGCTTTGTCCAATTGGTCGAATAAGTCTGCGATGAGTGGGATAGGATACTTGTTCTTCACCATC